GTAAAAACCAGTGGCGTAAATGACAACTCTGAAAAAATGAAAATCGGAAAATGGGAAATTCCAAAAATCGAAAAATCGAAATATCGAAAAATTGGAAGTTCGAAAATCGAAAAAATAAGAAAATCAGAATGGAAAAAATGAAAAAACCAAAATTCGAAAAATCAAAAATTGAAAAATCGAAAAGTGGATACATTGAAAATTCGAGTATCGAAAACCGAAAACTCGCGAAATCAAAAAATCGAAAAGTAAAATAGTTGAAAAAACTGAGGAACGGAATTCAAAAATTCAAAGAATTGAAAAACTGAAAAATCGAGAAATCGAAAAGCAAACAAATTGAAAAATCGAAAAACTGAAGAATTGAATTAAAATTCGAGTAATAGAAAAGTAATAAAATTGAAAAGTCCGAAAAATGAAAAACGAAAAGCGGAGACACTGAAAATTCGAGTATCGATAATCGAAAATTCTCGAAATCAAAAAATCGAAACGTAAAATAATTGAAAAGTCTAAAAACTGAAGAACAGAAAAATTGAAAAATCGAAAATTCAAAAAATCAAAAATCAAAAATTTGAAAAAAGCATAAATTGAAAAACGGGAAAATCGAGAAATCGAAAAGGAAACAAATTGAAAATTCGAAAATCGAAGAATTGAAAATTCAATGAATCAAATATTCCTGAAATTCCAAAATCTAAGAATCGAAATTCCAAAAACCGAAAAGTAAAAAATTGAAAAATTGAAAAACTGAAGAATGGGATTAATAAAAATTTGAGTAATGCAAAAGTAATAAGATTGAAAGGTCCGAAAACGGAGAAAGAAAAAATTGAACAATCGAAAATGCGAAAAATCAAAAATCAAAAAATCAAAAAGCGGAGGGACTGAAAATTCGAGAATCGATAACCGAAAATTCGCGAAATCAAAAAATCGAAACGTAAAATAATTGAAAAGTCTAAAAACTGACAACGGAAAAATTGAAAAATCGAAAATTCAAAAAAAAAATTGAAAATTTGAAAAATGCATAACTCAAAAACTGAAAAATCGAGAAATCGAAAAGGAAACAAACTGAAAATTCGAAAATCGAAGAATTGAAATTTGGTGAATTTCAAAATCTAAAAATTCAAATTCGAAAAATCAAAAATTCAAAAAGTAAAAAATTGAAAAATCGAAATACTGGAGAATGGAATTAAAAATTTTGAGTGGTGAAAAAGTAATACAATTGAAAAGGTCGAAAACTGGAGAATGAAAAAAATGAAAAATCGAAACTTAGAAAAACCAAAAATTCGAAAAATCAAAAACCGAAAAGTGGATACACTGAAAATTCAGTATCGAAAATCGAAGACTCGCGAAATCAAAAAATCGAAATTTAAAATAATTGAAAATTCTAAAAATTGAAGAACAGTAAAATTAGAAAATCTTAGATACAAAAAATCAAAAATCGAAAACTTGAAAAATGCATAAATTGAAAAACTAAAAAATCGGGAAATTGAAATGGAAACAAATTGAAAATTTGAAAATTGAAAAATTGAAAATTTGATAAATCAAATATTCCTGAAATTCCAAAATCTAATAAGAACCGAAATTCCAAAAACCGAAAAATCAAAAATTCGAAAAGTAAAAAATTGAAAAATTGAAAAACTGAAGAATGGAATTAAAAATTTGAGTAATGGAAAAGTAATAAAATTGAAAAGTCCGAAAACGGAAGAACGAAAAAATTGAACAATCGAAAGTTCGAAAAATCAAAAAGTGGAGACACTGAAAATTCGACTATCGAAAATTTAAAACTCGAGAAATCCAAAAATCGAAAAGACAAATAATTGAATTCTAAAAACTGAAGAACGGAAAAATTGAAAAATTGAAAATTCAAAAAATCAAAAATCAAAAATTTGAAAAATGCATAAACTTAAAAACTGAAAAATCGAGAAATCGAAAAGGAAACAAATTGAAAATTTTTAAAATCGAAGAACTGAAAATTTGATGAATTCCAAAAACTAAAAAACCAAAATTGAAAAATCAAAAATTCAAAAAGGAAAAAATTGAAAATCGAAAAACTGGAGAATGGAATGAAAAATTTTATGTGATGAAAAAGTAATAAAATTGAAAAGTCCGAAACTCGAGAAATCAAAAAGTCGAAAAGTAAAATATGTAGTACAAAAATAAAAACTAAAGAACGAAAAAATTGAAAAATCGGAAATTCAAAAAACCAAGAATCGAAAATTTGAAAAATCAAAGAATTGAAAAACTGATAAATCGAAAAATCGAAAAAGAAACTAATTGAAAATTCGAAAAGTCGAAGAACTGAAAATTCGATGAATTAGATATTACTGAAATTCCAAAATCTCAAAATAAAAAATGGAAAAATCGAAAAATAAAAAATTCGGAAATCGAGATATCAAAAAATCGAATAATCCAAGAATCGAAATACAGAAAAAACGAAATAACAACAAAAACAAAATTTTAAACTCGAAAATTCTAAAATAAAAAAATCGAAGTTGAAAATTGAAAAAATTGCAAAATAGAGAAACTAGAATTAAAAAATTCGAAAAATAGGAAAGTTGAAAAACCGTAAAACTGAGGCGTCGAGCAGTCTCGAAATCGACAAACCGAAAAATCTAAAATTAGAATATCGAAAAATTGAAAATTCTGGAAATGGAAAAATGGAAAGTGTTCCAAAATTGAAAATCGAAAATTTGAAAAATAAAAAAAAATCAAGAAATCGAGAAACCTGAAATTTAAAAAATCGAAAAATGGAAAAATCGAGAAATTGGAAAAGTCAAAATGCCGAAAAATCCACAAATCGAGAAATGGAAAATTCGAAACATCGAACAATTGGAAAATCAAAAAATTAACCAGAAATCGAAAAATCAAAAAATCTAAAATTTAAGAAATCAAAAAAATTTAAGAGTTGAAAAATTGAAAAATGGAAGAAAAATTGAAGGATTTTAAAAACTGAAAAATCCGAAAACGGAAACGTCCGAGAACGGAAAAGACCGATTTATCGAAAAATTCAAAAATTGAAAAACTGGAAAAACTGAAAAATGTCGAAAAATCCAGAAATCAAGAAAACGAATAATGGAAAAATCAAAAAATCGAAAAATTTGAAATTTAGAAACGTCAAGAATGGAAATATACAAAAATCGAAAAATTGGAATATCGTAAAATTAAAAAATTGTGTTATAAAAAAAATTGCAAAATGGTAAAACTGAAAAATAGAAAAATCGATAGAGCACAAAATCGAGAAATCGAGAAAATGAAATTTTGAAAAATCGAAACTTTGAAATTTCGGCAAGTCGAAAAATCGAAAAATTGGAAAAATTGAATAATCGAAAATTTAAAAACGGAAAAGTTGAAAAATAAAAAAAAATTAAAAATTCAAAAAACAAAAATTGGAAAATTGAAAAACTGGAAAATCAAAAAAAAAACGAGAAATCGAAAAATCGAAAAATCCAAAGAGTAAGAAATCAAAAAATAAAAATATAAAAAAAAACAGGAGTTAAAAAAGAAGAAGGAATTGAAGGATCTTAAAACTGAACCATCAAAAAAACCGAGACATCGAAAAATTGAAAAATCGAAAAACCGAAGAATTGAAAATCTGAAAATTGAAAAATCGAGAAATCTAAAAGTCGAGAAACCGAGGAATGAGTGAATCAAAATATGTATCCAAAAATAAAAAATCGAAAAATTTGAAATTCAGAAACGCCAAAAATGGAAACAATGAAAAATCGAAAAATTGGAATATGGCAAAATTAAAAACAAAAAATGTATTATAGAAAAATTAAAAAATCGAAAAATGTAAAATTTAGGAAAACAAAAAATTGAAAAATCGACAATTCGAAACATCGAACAACTGGAGAATTGAAACAGTGTGAAATCGAAACATCAAAAGGTCGAAAAACCAAAAAGTCGATTGGTCGAAAAATGAAAAAACGAGAAATCTAAAAATAGAAAAATCGAAATAGCGCAAAATCAAGAAATCGAAAAAATACATTTTGAAAAATCTCAATAAGTTGAAAAATCGAAAAATTGGAAAAACTGAATAATCGAAAAATTTTAAACGCGAAATTTTAAATTTAAAAAACGAAGAATTTGAAAATCGAAAAACCGGACAATAAAAAAAAACGAGGTATCGAAAAATTGTAAAATCGAAAAAATTTGAAAAAACTGAGAAATCGGAAAGCCAAAAAATTGAAAATTCGAAATATGAGAAAACGAAAATCCTACAATTTAGATTTTTTTCAAAAAGTCTCCACGTCTAGGATAAAAATTTAAAACGGATTAATAAACCACAAGTTCAGGACTATGTTAATTTTTAACAATAAACCAAATTGTAAGATGATATCAATTCTTGTGGAGGCGTTTATGAACAAATAGATTTTTTTCTCAAATGTAGATTTTACAAAAGCTTAAACGGTGATTCTTCGAGCACTATATTGACCCAATAGGGTATCAACTTTTATGAACATATAAAAAATAATGTATGTAGAGTAGAGTTTGGATTAAAAAAAAAGAGCGCCCAACGTGGGGCTCGAACCCACGACCCTGAGATTAAGAGTCTCATGCTCTACCGACTGAGCTAGCCGGGCTGATGACCAACGATGAGATAACGCGGGCTAGGTGGACCCTAAGAACAAAAATAGTTTTATATGTATTTATATTTATAAATATCTAGCTTTTTTTTACAATTAAGTACTATTTTTGAAATTTATGTGGAGTGAAACAGTTACACAGAGGCGCCGACCAAATACAAATAAAATATCTTGTAGTATTTTTTCTGATGTGGCAGAGAGTGCTGAATTCTTAAAGTTACTCAAATGAAAACAAAACAATCAATTCATATACTTCTAATACTCATTTTTAGCACAAACTTTTCGAAATTGGCAGCGATCTGTACAAAGTTCAAGCATCTCTCGCTCGATGGCAGCACCTCCCATTCCCCTACATTGCCATTAGAAATTCAAATGTCAGATGCGCACAACAACAAACGAAGACCACCGTAAGTTGGAGGGGATTTCCGTAAAAACGTCATTGGTTTGACAGTTTGTGTAGGTGTTGTTTCGTGTGGGAAGTGTAATGGTTTTGTATGAAAACTGTAAAATTCTGTGAAAACATCAATATAAACGGTAAGTGATGCTCTAGATCTATCATCTCCTTGGCTAAATTCGCCCCAGTCAATTTATTCCAGTCTCTGTTGGTGCCACTCCGACTGACCTTGTCCTTGCTTCTAAGATTTCCCTTTTCGACAAGTGTAGCGATAATTTTGAAAAAAATGCAAATTTTTATGGCAACACGTAGCACAAGTGACATTTGTTGGTTATGTTTATGGCTGCTGATGCAGTTGTTGTAGTGCTATTGTTTATATGTATGCTAGAACATAGTTGTGTTTCATACCGTGTTATTACAGTTCATTAGCATTACTCTTATGTAGTACAGGTTATTATTGTTTACATGAACTGCACTAACAATGCAGGAAGTCTCACGTATGTCTTTTATTAAATTTCTCCCACGGTTGGAATTTTCAACTTTGTCGTAGCTTCCGGAAAACTACACAAAAATTATTTTGGCATTGTTTTATAATAGCGCACTCGAGAATAATATTGTTCTTAAAGAGTGGATGACTAATTTAAATTCAAGGTTGGTTATGGTTACGCTGTGCTGCCAATTTAGAAAAAAAAGGAACAGCCATGAACTTGGTCATAATCTAATAATAGTTAAAAAAAAGTAGAAGCTGAAGTGGCTTACGGGATTGCTACGACAAAATTTTGCGTCAGGTTTGCCCAAGAATTTCTCTTCGTATCTCGTAGTGACTCACAATTGCGATAATCCGTTCCGGATTAGTGTACTCCATATTATATTGGTTACCGGTTTAACAGACTTCACAGGTTATTGGCAGGCAAATAAAAATAAACGAATTGAGAGTGATTGGAATATTAAAATTGGCGCGAAAGTTTGTCCGGCGCGATTATTTCTCTCAAATCCATTATTAACATTGTTACCTTTTATTAAACCAAACGACGCTAATCCGATTATTTTGAAATTTGAAAGTATCAATTTTGATATTAACGTTCTCCAAAAATTGGTTTATTGATTCTTTCAAAAAATAAAAACCAATGGCACACTTTCAATCTTATCCAGGAGTAAAAGTCAAGGGGACCAGAATAATCTTTCATATTCTTTAAAAAATACACTAGTGACCCTCGAGATACTTTAATCTCTTTCAAAACAAAACACCAAGAATCTTTTGGTGGTTTCATATTCTTTTTAAAAAACACACCAATTGTCCTCGAGATTCTTTAATTTTTTTTAAAAAAGACATTGGGTGCCTCCAAAATTCTTTGAAATTCTTTCAAATACGGTACACAAGGAGCCCCGAAGAGTCTTTTACATAAAAAAAGACATCAGAGGCTCTCGAAAATCTTTTAAAATCTTTTCAAAACAAAACACCAAAGATCTTGGAGATATTTTCGAATTCTTTAAAAAGAAAGACAATAGGGGCCTCTTACATTCTTCTAAAATCTTAAAAAAAAACACCAGGAGTTTCAGCGAGATACTTGAAACTCTTTCAAGACACCAAGGAAGAGTCCCTGAGATTTTTCCAAACTCTTTCAAAAATGAAACACTAGGAGCTTCCAAGATTTTTCCATATTTTTTAGGGTCCCCGAGATCTTTTTGAAATTCTTTCGAAAATGAAACACCAGGGACCCGCAAGATTTTTTCAGTTTCTTAAAAAATTCAAGATTCTTTGAAACGAAAATTCTCTGACTTCCTTTAAAAATAGACACGAAAGGCCCCAAAAATGTGTCAAAATCTTTCAAATATGAAGCACCAAGGGCCGCCAAGATTTTTGAAAACTTATTCAGGAGTAAAATTCAAGGGGCCCGGAAGAGTCTTTTATATACCAAAAGAAGATACAAAGAGCTTCCAAGTTTCTTTCTAAATCTTAAAAAAATACATCAGGACCCTCAGGGTCTTTTCATGTTCTTCAAAAAAAGGCACTAGAATCTCTTACGAAGCTCTTTTTAAACAACACCAGAACTCTCCCAGTTTTTTTTCATTCTTTTCAAAATGAAACACCAGGTGCTTTTAAGATTCTTTCATATTCTTGGGGTGAGAGGTCAACAAGATTCCTTCAATTTTCTTAAAAAAAGATATTTGGGGCTTACAAGATTCTTTAAAACTGTTCAAAAACGATACACAAAAAGGCCCCCAAGATTCTTTCAAAATCTTTTAAAAACATAATACCAGGGATTCCGATATTCTTTTTAAATTTTTCCTAAAATGAAGCACCAGAGCCTTCAAAGTTCTTTCAAGTTTATTCAGAAGCAAAACACAAGAGGTTCAGAAGTGTTTCTAATTCTCAAAAAAAGACAGTAGGAGCCCCCAAGTTTCTTTCAAAATTTTAAAGAAAAATACCAGGAGCCCGATGATCTTTTGATATTCTTGAAAAAAAGAAGGCACAAAGCACGCCCAAGATCCTACAAACTCCTTCAAAAAAAAAAAACAGCAGGAGACCCCAACATTTTTTCAAAAAACACAAGGAGCCTTGAAAACTTTCACATCTTTAAATAAAAGCAACGAAAGTTTCCAAAGAAGTTTTCAAAATCTTTCAAAAATGAGGCACCAAGGGACCAGATTGTTTCAAATTTATTCGACACTAGGTTTTTCAAGATACCTCAAACTCTTTCAAAAACAAAATACCAGAAGTCTTCGAGTTTTTTTCAAATCCTTTCCAAAATGAAGCACCAGGTGCTTTTGAGATTTTTTAATGTTCCTACAAAAAAAAAAAAACGCCGAGTATCTCCAAGATTCTTTTAAATTTTTTCAAAAAAGTACTTCGGATCCCGAAATTCTTTTCAAATTTAAAAAAAAATAAAACAAGGGGTTCGCAAGGTTCCTTTGATTTCTTTAAAAAAAGACATTTGGAGCTTAGAACAATAGCAGGAGTTCCCGATATTCTTTTTAAGTTTTTTCAAAAATAAAGCACCAGGACCCTCAAGATTCTCTCAAATTTATTCAGATGCAAAGCACAAAAATCAAAATCTTAAAGCAAAATACCGGGAACCCCAGGATCTTTTGATATTGTTGGACTGAAGATCCTAGAAACCCTTTCAAAAAAAGAAAAAAACGGCAGGAGTCTCCATACTTTTTTTTTCAAATTTTATCAAAAATGAATAAACCACCAGGGACCCGCAAGATTCTTTGAAACTTTTTTAAAAACAAAACACAAGGAGCCCTAAAAACTTTCACATGTTTAAATAAAAGCGACCAAAGGTTGCAAAGAATTTTTCAAAATCTTTCAAAAATGGGGCAACAATGGACCTCTAAGATTGTTTCAAATTTATTCAGGAGTAAAAATTCAAGGGGTCCAGAAGAACTTTTCGTATTGTCAAGAAAGACATAAAAAGGAGCCTCAGGGTCTTTTCACGTTCTCTGAAAAAAGGACACTCAAGATACCTTAAACTTTTTCAAAAACAAAATACCAGAAGTCTTCGAGTTTTTTTCAAATTCTTTCCAAAATGAAGCACCAGGTGCTTCTGAGATTTTTTAATATTCTTACAAAAAAAAAGCCGAGTATCCCTAAGATTCTTTTAAATTTTTTCAAAGAAGTATTCAGGATCACGAAATTCTTTTCAAATTTTTTAAAATATAAAACAAGGGGTTCGCAAGGTTCCTTTGATTCCCTTAAAAAAAAACATTTGGAGCTTAGAACAATAGCAGGAGTTCCCGATATTCTTTTAAGTTTTTTCAAAAATAAAGCACCAGGACCCTCAAGATTCTCTCAAATTTATTCAGATGCAAAGCACAAAAATCAAAATCTTAAAGCAAAATACCGGGAACCCCAGGATCTTTTGATATTGTTCAAAAAAAGAAGACACTAGGGACTGAAGATCCTAGAAACCCTTTCAAAAAAAAAAAAGGCAGGAGTCTCCATACTTTTTTTTTTTAATTTTATCAAAAATGAATAAACCACCAGGGACCCGCAAGGTTCTTTGAAACTTTTTTAAAAACAAAACACAAGGAGCCCTAAAAACTTTCACATGTTTAAATAAAAGCGACGAAAGTTTCCAAAGAATTTTTCAAAATCTTTCAAAAATGGGACAACAAAGGACCTCTAAGATTGTTGCAAATTGATTCAGGAGTAAAAATTCAAGGGCTCCAGAAGAACTTTTCGTATTGTCAAGAAAGACATAAAAAGGAGCGAGCTTCAGGGTCTTTTCACGTTCTCTGAAAAAAGGACACTCAAGATACCTTAAACTTTTTCAAAAACAAAACACTAGGAGTCTTCCAAATTTTTTTAAATTTTCTCAAAAATGAAACACCAGGTTTTTCTAAGATTCTTTCAAAGGTTTTTAGTATTGTCAAGAAAGACATAAAAAGGAGCTTCAGGGTCTTTTCACGTTCTCTGAAAAAAGGACACTCAAGATACCTTAAACTTTTTCAAAAACAAAACACTAGGGATTCCCATATTCTTTTTAATTATTTTCAAAAACAACGGCAGCGGTCTCGAAATTCATTTTAAAATTTTTTTAAAATAAAACGAGTCCGTCAAATTCTTATAAGTTCCTTAAAAAAGACATTTGCGGATGACTTTGTTTAAAGCTCTTTCAAAAACAATATACAAAGACCCCCTCATATTCATTCACATTAAAAAAAGACACCAGAGACCCCCAAGATTCGTTCCGAGATTTTGCCAAATTCTTTCAAAAATAAAACATAGGCCCAGAAAAGTCTTTCATCTTCTCAAAAAAAAAGACAATTGGGGCTTCTAACATTCTTCAAAATCTTAAAAAAAAACATCAGCCAGATACTTGAAACTCTTTCAAGACACCAAGAGTCCCTGAGATTTTTCTAAATTCTCGCAAAAATGAAACACTAGGAACTTCCAAGATTCTTTCATATTGTTTAAAATACAAAAAGCCAGGGTCCCCGAGATCTTTTTCAAATTCTCTCGAACAAGAAACACCAGGTGTTTCTGAGATTTTTTCATATTCTTTAAAAAAAAGACACCCCCAAGATTCTTTTAAATATTAATAAATAAACAGTGCCAGGGGTCCCGAAATTCTATTCAAATTTTTTCAAAAATTTGGGGTCCGCAAGATTCCTTCGATTTTCTTAAAAAAGA